GACACCACAAAAACTTTGCGTTCACTTACGACTAGAACCATACAATATTCACCGTCTTATGCACCGAAAACCAGGCACAGGCATCACTGCTCACTCACAGTACATCAATGTTCTACTGCCATCGTTTAAAATCCTACACGGATACTGACAGTACGGGTCGAAAAGATATCATTAATTTACGCATGCATATGCCTAGATCGCCATCTACTACATCGTTTTCACATCCTAATACGGAGCCCTCATTAAACCTTTTTTTTTCTTCATCAGCAACGCATCTTACGAGAAATCAAAGTGGACAATAAAGTTCAAATCTCAAAAACATCTAATTGGCTTTGACATCACAAGATACTCGGGACATTCTCTTCAGATTGGTGGGCATTCAGAGCTACTGAAGCAAGGGTTTACGAGGGCAGATTCTCTAGGACTACGGACGTCCAACACACATTTCGTGTATTGGCGCCTTTTTCACCTAAATCATTCTCGCGTTGCCCAAGTTTTTATGTATACGCATTTACCGCAAATTGAAATAAACAATGATATCCTTATTACTGCAGGGAGCGTGAGTGACGGCGCTCTCGCTTAGCGGAAGTAACGTGGCGTTTCTTGTCCAACAAGTCCAACACCCTCGTGTATTGGCGCCTTTCTCACCTAAATCATTCTCGCGTTGCCCAAGTTTTTATATATACGCATTTACCGCAAATTGAAATAAACAATGATATCCTTCTTACTGCAGGGAGCGTGAGTGACGGCGCCCTCGCTTAGCGGAAGTAACGTGGCCTTTCTTCCTGAAATTCCCGACTTTAATGGATTGGCTCGCAACGCACTATGGCATGGCGTTTGCGTGGGCTTGTTCGAGCGTCGATGGAATACAGATGAGGACGTTGTGCCCCTCTGCACCAAAGATTTGCAACAATAAAAAGTCAAGTTTCCAGTAAATTGTGAACATTCAAATTTGCAGCCCAGTAAGACTATTATACCCTCGTGAATCAAAGAAGGAGCAACTGTATTTCATGTATTTCAGTACCAACTGGACATGTAATTCGTTGTGCTATATTCCATTCAGCCTTTCTGTCGATCAGTCTGTCGATCGATTTCTTTGTGCTAGCGAATAGCTCAGACCAAATATTCCTCGTGATAAAATGGTAAATCCACTATAAGCTTAAAGTGTCACGGACTACTTGTTGGGAAGGGCCTGCACCTTTTCCACTTTCTCTTTGGTTACTGCTCAGATCACTGCCTCCCTCTTAATCCTTTTGCTTCCTTGGCCTCTTTGGGTCGTGCTAAGCGATTTTTCTTTGTTTTCTCTGGGTTCTCTTTAGTTGATCTCCCCTTCCTCACCTTTCATCTGCGTACAAAGCAGCCATGTGTTTTTTCTTTCCCTTTTGCCTCGGCCTTTTGTTGGAGGTTCACCCTACATTTATTTCCCTCAATTGCTCTTTTGAACGATTCGTTTCACTCATGCATTTCCACAGTCATCCTGATACGCTTCACATCACTCCTGCTGTATAGATTGCGGTATCCTTTAATCTATCTACGCCTAGCTCAGGTAGGGCAATACTCCATGAGCGTATCGCTCTTGCCGAGCGTGCTAGTAGGATGCTGCATATTTCCAACCGACTGGTTTAAAATATGTGCACCGCAGTCAACGCGCAGAGAGGGGACCTGCATAACTCTGAAATCATCTTTGTCGTCTGATCATATATGCCACGCAATTTTTATGAAATATACGAGCAGCATTGCCGATAGTAATGAACATTATGTTCAGCGCCATATGAGAAATTATATAGCATCGTACTCGTTGAGGGTATGACTGGGTCGCTTCCGACGGCTCGGTCCCCCCAACACCTTGGAAAATGTTTCGACTCAACAGGCCACACTGAGGGATGCGAAGCGTATCCACAAGAACCAATTGAAGAAGATGACTTAGGGCGAGCTTTAACGGCAGTCCTGAGCGAATTGAAGCGTATGAAAAAAAAGGGTTTAGAAACGTTTATGATAATCGAGCGACGCAACGAAGAACCACAACTTGAAACTGGTCGAAGTGATGAAACATATGATTGCCTTGTCAGCAGATAAAGAAGTGAGAAAAAGGAGCCATGGGCTAGGCAGGAAGTAACACAAACTGCAAACAATATTAGGTTGGAGGACAAGCAGCTTGCCGAGCGGATCATTGCAAAGTGTATCTTCGAGCTGCAATCACGCCTGCCTGAAGACAAAACATACAGCCGCCCTGAAAAAAGTTAAGCGAAGAAAAAAACGATCAAGAAGGATAATGGGGAGAACCGCTAGAAATGCCAAGAGGGGCGCGAATAAGGACTACATAAAATTCGCATATACGAAGCGAAGGCAGAAACGCTAAGAAAAACCATATGGCTGCGTCGAGCGGTTGAAGGAGGAGCCAAAATTCGATGTAAAAAATGTTGAAGGACAAGAAACTTGCACACTGACCGGTACGGAGCGTATTCACACGGAGAAATTGTGCATGAATGCGGGAAAGCATGCAATTTCCCAGAGTGAAGCGATGCGTACGAAAATAATTAATCAAAAGAGAAAAGGAATGAGGATGAACGTTTGAAAAAAATAAACATTGAAGGAGAGGCCAACCCCTGAGACCTAAGCTTGGGCCCACACAAAAAATGACTGGAAAAAAAAAGAAGGCAAAAACAGCTATAAAAAAAAAGGGGCGCGCGTTCTCTTCTTAACCGTGTGTATGCACAAAAAACTCTTCTCCAAGACCAGTGATCGATTTTAATGCCCTCACGGCGAAGTAGTGTATAATTTGAAATCAGAAAGTTTCCCAATATTCGCGTAAAATTGGAGCGGATCCAATGAGGAATGAAATCTGGAAGAAGCACCCTTTTCAAAGTCTGGTGCCGTTGAAAAACCTCATAGAACTTTACAAGTAGCAAGCCTTGGACCGCAAGGGACATCCCTGCAAGGGATTCATAGTAAAAAGTGCACAAGCTATGTAAACATACAAACAAGGAAAAAAAATAGTCCTACGAAGCACATCTCCCATACAGATACAATCTAGTCAACCCCAATTTGAATCACCACCCACCCACCCTATTGCCTGGGGTATCAGGATTGTTCAGCAATGAAGGGATCTTGATTCTGGAGAACCATTTTGGGTTTGTTTCTTCATGACTTTTGTTGCTTTGGAGCTGACCTCCTTGTCTACCGTAGTTGACGAGGTTGGTAGTGAGAATTGTTGCCGCCTTCGTGCTCGGCTTAGGAATTGACCATTTCCTCGTTGAAGATGTTCAATCCAACGAGCATATCGGGAAGACAGTCATATCAATTACCAGATGTGATTAAATAAGAAAATATAACATTGGTATAAAAATCAATATTTTGCCTCGACTGACTTCTGAATGATACACTAAAGGACCAGTCCGCAGACAGTTGTCACGCATCTCCACCTGATGTTCATTATCTTAATTCGAGTCAAATCGCTGCATACGCTGCATACTGGTGTATACGCAACGTGTCGACATACTACAATTGGTTGAACGTGTTGACTTACTACATTTGGTTGAACGTGTCGACATACTACAACTGGTTGAACGTGTCGACATACTACAATTTGTTGAACGTGTCAACATACAGCAATTGGTTGAACGTGTCGACATACTACAATTGGTTGAACGTGTCGACACACTACAATTGGTTGAACGTGTCGACATACAGCAACTGGTTGAACGTGTCAACATACTACAATTGGTTGAACGTGTCGACACACTACAATTGGTTGAACGTGTCGACACACTACAATTGGTTGAACGTGTCGACATACAGCAACTGGTTGAACAAGTCGACATACTACAATTGGTTGAACGTGTCAACATACTACAATTGGTTGAACGTGTCGACATACTACAATTGGTTGCAGCGCATACCATTGCTAAACTTAAAGCTGTACATTCACCGGCTCACAAACGATCATAGCATATTCATAGATGATGCTAAACTCAGCGATAGGAGACACCATTAATATCACACTGAAGGTTGTGGCAATACACAGGTTGAGATTACGGCTCGATATTCATTTGCAAGGCTTTACGAATTTCAATACCCCCTCTGGTAGGTTAAGTTGTTTGCACCAATAGTTCAGGGTATGCATAAAAGAGTCCGTTCATGAACATCGTGGCATCGACTACCATGTTTGATATGTGCAAAAATACAGTATTCTCGTTTTAAATACTAAGGGCAGCTGCGTGCGCTCTCCGAACATGGAAATACCCTCACGTACACTAGATATATAGAAGACGCTTATGTCCGAGTGTATTCACAGTCCTACACCAATTTCCTGGAAATTTACACGAGGACTCTAAATCGTACGGGAACAGGCTGCTCGGTGTGTCTACATGATTTCGGTATTTCAACGTCTACCTATCAGCGTTGCATTTATTTCAAGAATTACTCTCAGCAGTCGATGTGCACATCCGGAAACCCCTGGCTTCCATGACAACATACATCCGACTTCCAGGTGTCAAGCAAACTTTGTCTTTATCCTCTGTACTGTGCGTTTCCTTGACAACGGTAGGTTCCTTGACGACCTTAGGACTAGATTCCAGACCACGTGGTTTAGTCCTGGAAGATATTTGGAATGTGGTATACCTCTTGTTAATTGCAGAAGCCATAAAATTCCAGTATAATCAGTACCGTATCACTGCCAATACTCTGCGTACTCGCATATACGTTTACAGACTTAAAATTTAGATACGCATACTTTAAGGGCATACACATAAACATGGGTATGTAATTAATATCGATAATAAAACGAATTTCATATACATACCTTCATAAAAGTAATAGAAAGTAAGATATACAAATATTAATAGTAACGGACAAATACAACACACACATGACATTACAGAAATATCAAGTTTGTTGTATATCATGATCTCGATACGCTATAGACCCACAAAAAGACGCCAAGATACACGAATCAACAATATGCCTACTTGAATGTTCTTGTATACATTCAAACAGGACCTTACTGAGTCACAAATTGTGCATACACATAGCGTTTCATACGAAATCTGAATGTCATACACACACACACACACACACACATATACACACACACAC